TGCTTGGTTAAATTTAAATTTCAGCTAAAAATGTAAGAAAAAATTAATTTCAGCTAAACCACAAATAATTTTTAGCATGAGTATTCCTGTGAAATATTTGGTATATATACTTATCCTAAAAGAAAATTCCTCATTGTTATCTGAAATCCACATTTAATTGGGCATCATATATTTTATCCTACAGCCCTATCTTCAGTCCTATTTCTGCCGAGGATATAAAGGACACCATGTAAACTGCATGTTTGCTATATCAAACTGAGCAAAAACATAGTGAATGGAATAGGCCAGAACTTTATTCAGAGGCTAATGAAAAAAAAGCAGAGTTGGCACAGATGAATCTGTGGGCACACAGGTTGATAACATGGTGTTCCTTGCTTGGCCCAGACATTTTGCCAGTAGCAACCATGAGCATATGCCAGTGCAACTTAACAGAATAGCTAAAAGCAGGAACATTGGAATCACACGTTTGCATGTCCAGTTCCCCGCTCTGGCTCATATATGATTTGTAACCCTGGCAAAACTCCTCTAAGCTTCAATTTCCTTATATAGAATGAGGATAGTAATGGTAGCCTCTCAACAATTTCATTGATACATTGTATCTAACTCAGCACCTGACTAGAGGAGGCAGCCTATTATTGTTATTATTAGTGGTGGTGGTGGTGGTGGTGGTGGTGGTGGTGGTCCTAAAATGTCACTCCCTCCTCTAAGACAACTCAATGTACAATAGAGTAGAATAGAATAGACAAGTTTATTATTTATTTTTCACTTAGTATTTGCAAGGCACTGTACTAGTTTTACAAATTTTCTTATCTAATCTTCATAAAAACACCAAGAGGTATCATTACTCCTGTTTTATGGGTACTGGATCCAAGGCACAGAGAAATTAGAAAATATTGTAAGGTTACAGTGTCACACAGCTCATAAGGGGCAAATCTGAAATTCAAACTCAGTTCTGTGTGCTCCCAAAACCCATGCTTTTAACCACATTGAAATCTCTTCATGAGATTGCCAACCCAAATTGTAATTCTTTCCTACCTTGAGAAAAAAAGCACCCAGATGATTTTTAATTAAGTCTGGAAAAGTCCACAGTAATTAAAACATTTCTTATTTCCTTCATTCCTATACCTTCTTACCAACCTAGAATAGTGTTGTAGAAGAAAGTTTTCATCTTCTTCCCTGCTTGGATAAAACCTTCTTTCATAATCTCAGTTTCTCATCTACCTAAAGCAAATTCACTTTCTTATGGCAGTGGAAGATAAATCACAGCTTTTCAACTGTTATTAACATGGCCAACATTAAAGGTTATTTATAGTTATCAGGTGCTTTATTTTTATCTCCTATATTCTTACAATGGTGCTGATATATGGGCAGGAATTTATATTATGTCCATTTTACAGATGTAGAAACTGAGACCCAGAGGGTATCTGTCATTTGCCAGAGTCGCACAGATAATAACCAAAAGAACCTCGCTCCTGTTCTCAGCATTATTTATTAGCTCATGTTTTCAATGCATATTTGTTGGGTATCTTTTGCAAACAAGGCACTATCCTAGACAGCAAAGCCATCTCCCTGAACAAGACTGATCAGAATGCTTCCCTTTGAGATTTTAACATTCCTTGGAAAGAGAGACATTAAATCATCAAAATTTAGTGCTGAGAAGAAACAATACAGAGTGTAGAAAAATTAATCATATAAGGATCTGAATTGGGTTAGAGAGTCACAGAAGTTTCCACCAAAGACAAGACATTTTAGCTGAGACCTGAAGCTATGAGGAAAAAACCAAGAGAAGAGAAAGAATAAGAACAACAAGCAGGGAAAATGGAGGGTATTGAATCAGCGCCATGCAATGAGCTAGTGTTACTGACAGGAATTGAGGCCAGCTATCCGGACACTCAGGACAGTGCTAGGTTTTTGACACCAGACCACCAAAAGCAGCTGATTTAGGATTTGTCTGCTTGCCCTATCCAGCTGCTATTCCTAAGAAGCCAGCAAATTTCTGTCTTAAGTTGCTCTATCTACAGCCTTCACTTATCTATAGAGTGCCCTTGTAATGATTAGAAAAATATGCACCCTTTCCCAGGCAAACATGGTAATGTGTCAGGGTCTGTGGCCTAATTGATAAAGGACACTAGAATGTCCTTCCCCCACTAGCCTCTTGGACAATCACAGTGCTCAGTCATCAGTAGTGACCCTGATGGCATAAATCTACCTCACTGAAGGCCTTCTAATGTCTAGATTTTATTAGAGACTCTGGCCTTGTCTGTCCTATACAAACAGTGGTGATCTAGAGTCTAGATTCACAACCCTTTGTACAAGAGAGACAAGACCAGTGTCTTTCTGAGAAGACAGGCTGGAGAGGCCTGGGAAGGCCACACCACACAAGGTGCAAGCAGAGCTGCCTGATTACTTTCCAGAAGTGGTTTGGTGCCTTGTGAAGAGTACTAACTAGTAAGTAAGAAACATTGCCCTAGCCTTGGCTCTGAGACGCTGGATGAACCTCCTTTTGTCCATACCTTAGTTAATTTTCCCATTTATAAAATGGCTTCTGATACATGCAAAGTATAAGCATTGATAAATCAATAAGTTTAAGTATTCCCAAGTCCACATTCCAATTAACTGAATTTATAGCATTCCTCAGGACAGCCAGTATAATCTAGACTTGAACCAAACTTTATTCTCTTGTGTGTATTGCAAAGGAAGATTATTTTACACCTGAAATACATAGCAGCATCTCAAATTCAACATTCTGTTTCACCAAGTGCAAATATATTTAATCCAGTTAATTATTTTTCTTTTTTAAAAAAAAAAAGACGGTAAGGTAGACTTTATTCAAGGGGAACCATGGTGACGGGTGTGGGTATAGAGACCACGGCAATGGAGTCTGGCAGTAGGGGAGAAGATTGGTCTTAATCAATTGCCAAATTATTTTTTTCTTCTTCTTCTGTTTTTTCGTTTTGTTTTGTTTTGGTTTTGTTTTTTTAATATTTGCCATGTGCCTCGGGTAATATGTATTCAACTCTAAAAAAGATAGTTTTGCCTTCGAGAAGCCTATAGCCTATTGGTAAAGACATTTAAACAGAGACTTAGCAGGTACCCCAGAGGGTCACCTATCTCTGTTTGGAAAAACCAGAACAAACTTTTAGAGGAGGTGAAGCCAAAGGTGAGACCATGACCAAGCAACAGAGCAGGCTCCATGAGGATCCAGAAATAATAAAACATTCTTCTCTTGAGACCCGCAGGCTAGGAATCAGCCTAAGTGTCCATCAACAGGTGAATAGAGAAAGAAACTATGATATGTATACACTGGAATACTATTTACTATACAACCTTAATAAAGAAGGAAATCCTATCATTTGCAACACAGTTGAACCTGGAGGACATTATGTTACTTGAAATAAACCAGGCACTGAAAGACAAAGAAAGACAAATACATACCACATGATCTCATTTACATGCTGACTCTAAACAAGATGAACGCACACAGGCAGAGGGTAGAATGATAGTTACCAGAGACTGGGAGTTGGGTAGTGGGAGGGATTGGGGAGATGTTGGTTAAAAGATACAAAATTTGAGCTAAACAGGAGGAATAAGTTTGAGACATCTATTGTACATCATGATGGCTATAGTTAATAACATTGTAGTATATACTTGAAAATTGCTAAGAGAGCAGATTTTAAGTGTTCTCACCACACAAAAAAACATAAGTATGAGTAATCTGTGTATTAAATAGCCAGATATAGCCTTTGCACAATATATGCATATTTCAAAACATCATATTGTACACCATGAATATGTACAATATTTTGCCAATAAACAAATAAACAGATCCGCAAGCTGAAACAGAAGAGAGCTATTAAAACACTTAGTTCTCCTGTGAGAACACATGGACACATTTGGGGGAGTAACACGCACTGGGGCCTGTCAGGGTTTCAAGGGGAAAGAGAACAACAGGAAGAATAGCTAATGGATGCTGGGCTTAACACCTGGGTGCCAGCCGGGCAAGGTGGCTCACGCCTGTAATCCCAACACTTTGGAAGGCCGAAGCGGGCAGATCACGAGGTCAGGAGATTGAGATCATTCTGGCCAATATGGCGAAACTCCGTCTCTATTAAAAATACAAAAATTAGCTGGGCATGGTGGCGCATGCCTGTAGTCCCAGCTACTCAGGAGGCTGAGGCAGGAGAATCCCTTGAACCAGGGAGTCGGAGGTTGCAGTGAACTGAGATCGTGCCACTGCACTCCAGCCTGGCAACAGAGCGAGACTCGGTCTCAAAGAAAAACAAACAAACAAACAAAAAACAAAAAAAAAACCTAGGTGACAGGTTGATCTGTGCAGCAAATCATCATGGCACATGTTTACCTATGTAACAAACCTGTACATTCCTGCTGGCTACATGTGTAGCCCGGAACTTCAAATAAAAGTAAAAGTTGATGGGAAAAAAAAGAGAAAAATAAAAGTTAAATAAATAAGACAGTTTTGTTGTTGTTGTTGTTTGTTTGTTTGTTTGTTTTGAGACAGAGTCTCACTCTGTCACCCAGGCTAGAGTGCAGTGTTGTGATCTCGGCTCACTGCAATCTCCACCTCCCAGGTTCAAGTGATTCTCCTGCCTCAGCCTCCTGAGTAGCTGGGATTACAGGCATCTGCCACTATGCCCAGCTAATTTTTTGTATTTTTAGTAGAGACGGGGTTTTCACCAAGTTGGTCAGGATGGTCTCGAACTCCTGACCTCGTAATTCGCCCACCTCGGCCTCCCAAAGTGCCGGGATTATAGGTGTGAGCCACCGCGCCCAGCCAACACTTAGTTCTTATACAATGCGGTCAAGTGTGCTGTAGGACAGATGATGAAGTAACAAACTCCGCCTGGATAAGGGTGGAGTGGTTATCATGAAGGTTTCACAAAGAAGGGCCATTTGAACTAAGGAATACATAGGAGTGATCCAAAGAGAGACGAGGAGGAGGGTATCTGAGGAAGAAGGAAGAACAAGAGCAGAAGGATGGGGTGTGAAAGGGCTTGCCCATGTGGGAACAAGGGATTGTCCCAGAGCATGAGGGAAGGCACACAGTGTACAGGGAGGCAGTAGGCTTGCCTTGCCAATCTGATTTGTTGCCTGCTGCTTGGCATTGATGAGTAATTCTACCTGATATCCCTCTAATTATCAATGCTGGCCTTGAAACTAGCCTCAAGAGATTCACTCCAGAACCCTTTATAGATACAAATGTTTGAAATCAAGAGGGTTTTTCTTTCCCTATTTGAAAAATGTTTGGTTTGAATGATAGGGCATGGCTCATTAGAACACATCTGAAAGCAAGCTGTGCAGACATCTTGTGCAACAATCTAAATTCCAAAGCAGATGATGTCACGTATCTATGCCTTATAAATGGAGCAACGTTTCAGATGTATCTGAACAATTTATCTGCACCAATACCCAGTGCTACCAGAATGGCTGTCTCAGTACTTCGCCTGACAGTTGTCCTGGGACTGCTTGTCTTAATCCTGACCTGCTATGCAGGTAAGTGCTTCTGATCACAGCCCACGAATTGTTCAGTAGTTAGCAGTGACTAGAGAAAGCTGGTGGCACTGATTCAGAACATAAAAGAAAGAAGGGGTCTTTGGGCACTGCAGAAAGAGCACTGGCCTGGGAGACAAGAGGTATATCTTCTAACACAAAGATAGTAGGATTTTAATAAAAACCTAGCCTCTATTTTCAGTGGATGTATGAAGTTTGAAATTTTTTATGTGCTTATGATATAACGACACTATTCTAGTATAAATTCCACGGCAGCTGACTGGCATTTATTTTTTGATAATTATATCTAATGATATTCAATGGTGAAGAATATGTACTCTGGAATACAACTCCTAGACCTGGCTCTACCACTAACCAGAAATGTGACTTTAGGAATGCTATTCAATCTCTCTAGGCCTCACATATAAATGGGGACATTTAACTTTCTCATAAAGTTATCATGAAAATTCAATAAAAGGAATGAAACAAATTGGAAGAGTACCTGGTTCATAATGAGCATGCAATAAATATTACCTGCTATTGTTGTCATGTACAATCTCATTTGGTTCTCACAGTAATCCAATGATGTAAACATGTACAGTTTTGTCATTTTCCTTTTTACAGGTTAATAAACTCAGCTTGCAGAGGGCAAGTTACTTGAGCATACATACAGGTGGAAGTGGCACCTGGGAGTGAAACCTAAGTTCCTAGATTGTTTCTACTATTATCGAGCAACTACTTCTTTCCCACCTTTTCCAAGCACATGGAAGCTCATGCTGTATGCTGCCTTCTCATTAATTAATTTATTGTTTGTCTGCAAAAGACTGTGAGCTCCATTCAGAATGAGAGACCAGAAAATAGAGAGAGTGCAAACATTTAGTAAAAGAATCTTTTGAATGTAACTTGGCTGAACAACACACAGGCAGACATTACAACAGAATTACTCTAGATATGGCCAGGGAGATTATTAAGTCCATTCTACTCCTAAAGAAATCACTACAGTGAAGTGAAAGGTGAGATCTGATACCAAGACCATTCGCCACCCTGTCTCTTATAGACTCTGAAACTGGTTAAATCCGTTCACTGCTTTGAACCTCAGTTTTTTTATCTGTAAAATGGGATAACTATCAACTTTACCAGGTCAAATGAATAAGCTTTTATAATTACTTTGCAAACTATTAAAACTGTACAAATATCAGCAATACTGTTTGTTAAGAACATTATGTTCACATTCACTAAGAAACTCAACGAGGTAGTTACTGTAAATAAAGGCTATCCCATATAATACTTGAAAAAAGGAAATATTAAACTATTGGCTTTGAAGATTTGTTTCTAGGATATAAATTGTTTGATATTTTAATAGCATTTTTAAAATTTATATTATCTTCTAAAGCACTAGAGGAGAAAGTGAATTATAAATAATTTTGTTGCTATTATTAGTAGTAGTAACAATAAAACACAGAACATTTATTTATTTATTTATTCTTTCATTTATTATTTATTTATATAAGGTAAGTTTACCTTGGGATTAGTACTGTGATAAGTGGTATATATATGATATACATATGTATATATGATATAGATATATGTGGGTGTGTATGTATATTATGTAAAATATCTCTCAATCCTGACAACATGTGAGGAAACTGAGAGATAGCAAAGTTAAGCACTGTGTGCAGGGTTACATGGCTAATTTTTTGTTAAAGGCAGGAATCCGACAGGTCTATAAAACTCCAGAACATGCAATCCATCACACTTTAATACCTCTCAATATATATATGGGGTTCACAAGCTAAGGCCAAGATTTTGATTTCCACCCACTCCAATCCCAGGCTTCTTGCATCTTGAAAAGCCAGCTTTTAGTGTCATATTAAAATAACAAGTCAATAGAATTTATTTTGCAAGTAGCCAGATAGAAAAACAGGAGAAAATATCTCATCTTTCATGCAAGAAATTACTGCTTTGCCCTTGGCAAGTGTCTTTACAGAACAATTGTTTGGAGGTTGTATTATACAATGTGAATAATGTGCTTTGTGGAGTTAAGAAAAAATTAGGTTCAAACCCTGGGTCAGCCACTTTCTAGATGAGTGATTTCAGGTGAGTCATTTAATTTTCCTGAGCATCTGTCTTCTCTCCTGTAACTGTGATACCACTACTGAGCTGAATGACGATTAAGGCATGTGCTGAAAGCACAGGTGCAGTACCTGCACAATAGGCAGCTTACACATGAGTTCTGCTTCCACCTACTTCCCACAATAAAACCAAACCAATCCTTCTGAGTACCTAGGTTGCCCAGCACTTTATGTGAAGGTCATATCTGTAGTTGTCTTTTTTTTTTACCTTGACTTCTAGCATAACTATGCACAAAATAGTAGGCTCGGGCCAGGCACGATGGCTCACACCTGTAATCCCAGCATTTCTGGAGGCTGATGTGGGCAGATCACTCAAGCCCAGGAGTTCGAGACCAGCCTGGGCAACATGGCGAAACCCCGTCTCTACACAAAATATAAGAATTAGCCAACTGTGGTGGCATATGCCTGTAGTCCCTGCTACTCAGGAGGCTGAGGTGGGAGGATCTCTAGACCCCAGGAGGTTGAGGCTGCAGTGAGTCATAATCATTTCACTGCCCTCCAGCCTGGGCGAGAGAGTGAAGCCCTGTTTCAAAAATAAAACATTAAAAAAGTAGCATCAAAAATACTTTTTGAATGAAGGAACCAATAATCGGATATATGAATAGGTAATGATTAGTATATTGATTTTGGTTATAAGTCCCAAACTGGTGCTTCTATCAAATCTTTAGTTGTGTTGTAGTAAACAATAAATGCTCCTAGAATTGTCTGCCAATCTTTTTCACTGATAGTTTTCATTTTAGGATATAATATAGATGTAAAGTTTTGACGTAATTTGACAGCCTCCACACAAAAGGTAGTTACATCTCTTTTATCCAAAGTCAGGGGTACATTGTCTAGAAGTTGGGACTTCTTGAGTTAAAACTTGTGCTGAGGTTGCCAGATAAAATACAAGAAACAGAGTTAGATTTGGATTTCTGATAAACAATGAATAATCTTTTAGCATCAGTGTATCCTAATTACTGCATGGATCATTCTTATAGTACCAGTAGCATCAGTGTGTCCTAATTACTGCATGGATCATTCTTATAGTACTAGAAAAGCATTTGTTGTTTATCTGAAATTTAAATTTAACTAGGCATCCTGTATTTTTATTTACCCAGTCTGGTAACATTACTTGTCAGGGTACAGTAAAATTAAAAAATAAAGGTCCCACTTTATCCTGTGACCAGGGCTCAGAGGGGAGATCACATGTAGCTACTGTTACTATTCCATCTCTTCTCATCTCCTGAGAATAAAGACAACCAAGCAAAGTCAAAAAGCCCACAAGGGATCTTGAATGTAATCGACCTCACTCTGGATCCTTGGCCCTCATTCCAACGGGTGGTTAAGAATCTAGTGTAAGAGGGCCGGGCGTGGTAGCTCACGCCTGTAATCCCAGCACTTTGGGAGGCCGAGGCAGATGGATCACGAGGTCAAGAGATCGAGACCATCCTGGCCAACATGGTGAAACCCCGTCTCTACTAAAAATACAAAAAAATTAGCCAGGTGTGGTGGAGAGCGCCTGTAGTCCCAGCTACTCGGGAGGCTGAGACAGGAGAATCACTTGAACCTGGGAGATGGAGGTTGCAGTGAGCCGAGATTGTGCCACTGCAAGAGATTGTGCCTGTCAACAGAGTGAAACTTTGTCTCAAAAAAAAAAAAAAAAAAAAGAATCTAGTGTAAGAGGCCTGCAGTCGTCGTCTCAGCATTTTTCTTACTCTCTGTGAGGTCTTCCGTAAGCCACTTAATCTTTTCACTTTCTCAGTTCAGTGAGATAAAAAAAATGCATACTCTGTTTAAGATTGCTCAGGGGGTAAAATTACACAACATTTGTAAAATCACTATTTACGAAACTACTAGGTGATATGCAAGTGATAGAATTTCTTTGTCATCATTGTTGTTATACTATTTTGAATCTTCTAAAAGAAGTGCAAACTGTATAACTTTTCCATCAAAGACTGTGCAGCTCATCATAGAGTACTTTAGAATCCAAGTTTTAATGCCAAACTGACATGGGTTTGAATTGTATTTCTGCCACTTACTAACTGCGACTTTCAACCAGTTTCTAAACATCTCTCAAATTATATTTCTTTACCTTTAAATTGGGATAATTGTTCCTACCTTGTAGAGTTGCTATGATAAAATAAGACAACCCATGTAGATCATCTTAGACATGTACTCAACAAATGTTTCATTTTTATTTATCTATTTTATTTCTTAGAGACAGGGTCTCACTCTGTTACCCAGGCTTGGAGTGCAGTGGAACAATCATGGCGCACTATAGTCCCTTCTTCTGGGCTCAAGAGATCCTCCTGCCTCAGCCTCCCAAGTAGCTGGGATTACAGGTGTGCACCATCACACCTGGCTACTTTTTACTTTTTGTAGAGATGGAAGTCTCACTATGTTACCCAGAAGGGTCTCAAATTCCTGTCCTCAAGCAATTCTCCCATCTCGCCCTCCCAAAGTGCTGGGATTACAGGCATGAGCCACCTCACCCAGTTGATAATTTATCTTTAATATTATTATTACAATGGGCATGGAGATCCTATGGAAAAGCAGACATTTTGTATGTCAGTCCTGGCACTGGCACTTACTATCTGTTTAACTCTGAGATAAGTAGTTAGCTTCTGGGAACTTTGTTTTTCTCACTCACAAGGCAGTGCCAGTGTCTACCTAAGTATCAATATCAGTCGGTCTATTTGTTTGTTTTTACAAATAAATGAGATAATGCATGTGAAGATTTTATCCAGACAGGCATTAAATGTTCGATGAATATAACCATATAAGGCTATGAAATTAGTGAGTGGGTCAGAAAGAATCCCAAGAGTTCCCCACATGGAAAGGAGACTTCCTTCTTTATTGCTGAGAATCACCTCTGAGATTCTGTTCTGTTTTTCAGACGACAAACCAGACAAGCCAGACGACAAGCCAGACGACAAGCCAGACGACTCAGGCAAAGACCCAAAGCCAGACTTCCCCAAATTCCTAAACCTCCTGGGCACAGAGATCATTGAGAATGCAGTTGAGTTCATCCTCCGCTCCATGTCCAGGAGCACGTAAGCACTGAGACAAACGTTGCTTTTTGTTCAGCTCTCTCTTCATAATGACCACACAATGACCACATGGCATTAAAATATATGAAAAACATAATTTGTGGCACCAGTAAATGTGTTATTTTTCATTGAAAAATGTTGCCCTACTTAAAATATACTTTGCATCTGAATTCACTGCCCTGAACTTTTTGGGGGAAAGCACATTCCCATCAAGTGTTTCCATATGGGATTTTTTTTTTTTTTTTAAATCTCAGGACCAAATAGGGAGGAGGAAGAGCACTAGATTAATCTCAGGACCAAATAGGGAGGAGGAAGAGCACTAGAGTAAGGAATGAAAAGCCAAGTTCTGATTCTAACTCAGGTGCTATTTTACTAGGTGGTCTTGAACAAGGCCTTCCCACTCTGAAGGCCTCTATTTGCTCATATTTTAACTGTAAAGTTAAAATAATAGATGGCCCACCCCAGGTAAGCACTGTGATTATGTGATGAAGATAAGAGGTAGTGATACGCTCGCTAGTGACAGGTGTGATGAATGCTGCCTATATTTTCTAGCTTGAGTAGCTCAAGAAGGTTAGCAGAGACAGTAGATAACCTCTCTTTAGAGACAAACGAGAGAACCTCTCAGCATGAGTGTTGGTTTCATCATGAGGGACTGCCTTCGGGCCGATCACCAATCCCAGAGTCTTCCCAATGTGCTCTGCCTGCTTCCAAGCCTGTGTCTAATTCCCAATACATGTTATTTTTGCCTACGTAGTTTCGATTTGACACTACTACCTCACTGTATGCTTTATTCTCCAATATTAATCTCCCGAATTTCAGTGCTCCAGGAGGAAATTCACTCTTCTGAATTTCCAGGTGCTTTCAGTTTCCACCGCTCTAAGCCTCTGCTCTCTAATTTTCCCCCATATAGATCCTCAAGCAGAGTTTCACTAGGTGTGGTCTATCCACCTGTTACAGAATCCCTTGGGGGGAATTTATTTTTTAAAATGCTGATTTCTGCATCCCATTTTGCATTTTTCTGGGGACAAGGCCATGGATATGGTTTTCAACAAGCTTTTCAGGTAATTCTGATATACAGAAATTTTCGAAAGTCATGCCTTGATCAGGTGTTCTGGGCTGCATGGATGGGCCTTAAAGTTCCAGAAAGCCTTTACATTTTTATTAATATTTTGTGTCAGTGTGTGTGGTTTTTTTTGGTTTTTTTGTTTGTTTGTTTGTTTTTTTGCATTTTCCTGGGGAAAGTGTTTATGACTTCTATTAGATTCTCAAAGGGGTCTTTAACCAATAGCAGATTAAGAAACACTTCCGTGTAGGAGTAATCAGGGGTTTTGTAATCTCTCATCTGCTTAAAGGGATAGATTGTCATCTGATTGGGCAGTGTTCTACAGGCAATCCTTCTCCACAAATAGTTAAAACTCACAGGTGCTTTTTAGAATTGCTACATTTCCTATTGTGGGTGCTTTTGCAACTGTTATCTTTCCAAGATTGTTAATGTAAACAAGAAGGAAAGCCATAGGCCAACAATAGGAGCACCACCCATTCGATACAAACTAAAGATTAGGCTCCAGTTGAATTAGTATTGTTACATTCATACAGCAAAGCAAGGAGTTAGAACACTAATAATTCTTTTCATTCTTTCCCTAGGGAATTTTGCAAGTATAAAATAGGACATTTTTCTCTGTGTTAACAGTAAGAGTTGACTCTGTGATATGCTAAAGAATTGCTGTCCACTCTAGGCTCAGAAATGGCCCTTCATCTTCTGATTTCCCTTTCCCTCGTTTTAGTCTGAGTAAATGGCCTTCTTTCTGTTGCTAAAAATTATTACCATCTCAGTCTCTCTTCCCTTGCTCTCTCTCCTTTCTAAAATACTCCCGTTTTCTCATGACTAGTTCTTGGGCCTGCAGCTAATCTCAAAGTCACTTCCTCAGAAACTATTCTATGATCATTCTTGTTAATACTGTCTTCTTCCATTCCCACTGCCTGTTATTCTCTCACTTTACCTTGTTACAGTGTCATAATGTTTGTTATCATCGGAAATGACTTATTCATTTTTAATCAAGTAGCTAAGTGAAAGTAGAGACCAGATCACCTGACTGGTTGCAAGAGCACAGTACCTGCCATATAGTGTCAGACACTTGAATTCATTAATTAAGGAAAGATACATTGCAGATGAGACCTAAAGCCCATCTACCTCAATCTGACTGAGAAATCCTGAAGGATCTTTGCTCAAAGACACAGCAATGTCTGCTCAAGAGATAAATCTGCGGGTGGTAGAGCCAGGACCTAAGGCATACCCATAATTCCCTGTTCAAGGGAAGACCATCAGCAAAATAGGGGGTGGAGGATAGGAGGAGACCTCAGAAAGTATTGCTAAGCACTTAACATGTACAAAGCGGGGACACGGATTGTGAAGGAAAAATCTAGACTCTTAACCCCTTCTCCTCAAATAATTTGCAGTCCTTATGGTAAAATTACATAAGCCAGTGCACAATGCAATAACTAAAAATGCCTGGCAAGATAAATGTCAGCCAAATATCACAGGCAGTTTCCAGTGAAAGGAGCTGTCAGTGGGGCCAGTGTGCTTAGGGAAGTGTTTATGGCAAAGGCAAGATGTAATGTGGGCCTTGAATGACTGAACAAGATTTGATTTGGAAGAGAGAATGAGAGGAATAATAAAGATTCATAAAGGTGAGAATTTTACTTTATTTACTCCAATACGTCTGATGCCTAAGTGGTGTGTCAGATGCATAATAAATGCTAGAGACAGGCTTTGGGGACAGTGAATAGACTGGATTGTTTTCTCCACTTGCTTTTGGATTACCTCGGAGCTACCTAGACTGCATTTTGCTCATCATTTTTCTGAAAAATATACATATTCTTAACTCCTCTCACCCTTTGAGAGCCCTTAATTCTTGGAAATATTTCCCCCTGTGGGTTCCATGACATATTTTCCTGGTTCTCTCTCTACCACTAGTCATTCTTTCTCATTCTTTTTATTTGACTTTTCTTCATGCACCTGCCCACCAAATGTCATTGTTCCTTAGAATTCCAAATGTGCTTGGGTTTTTGCATTGCAGTTTACACATTGGGAATACTGCCTATAATCTAATGAGCTTCAAATTCACATTTCTGTTGCAATATTTTTCCTGAGCTCCAGATGAAATAACTGATTGCTTGCTACAAAATTCCATCGTTTTTCTACTACTGTTTCAAATTCCACTGGTCTAAACCCATCATCTCACTCAAAACCCTCCTCCATATCTCATTCAGTCACATCGTCATCCACCCAGAATCCAGAAACCTAAGGATCTTCTCAAATCCTTCCTGCTCATCACCACCTTCATTGAATTGCTGAATATTCTACCTTATATGCCATCCTCGGGTATAAGTATATGCACCCTATATACATTTCTCTTTCTCAGCTCCACTGACTAGCTGGTCAAGTTGAGTCCTTCATCATCTCTTTCCCAAGTTCTTTTTATTGGATTTCTAATAAATTCCACTCTTTTCTTTCTCTCTTTTTATTGGATTTCTAATAAGTTCCACTTTCTTTCTGCCTCACCAATTCATCTTCTACCTACTACCAGAACTTATATCAAAAAATGTAAATTTGGTCATATCACTGCCATGCTTAAAAGTTTTTCATGAATTTCCATTGTCTCCAAAATTCAAATAAATGCATTAGGCTGATGTCAAAGGTCCTTCTCTGATGCCAATGTATCTTTCGGTCACATTTCTCACCTGTGCAACCTTAAGCCCAATGACAAATGAGTTTCATTTTAGAGCAGGTCACGTTTGTATAAACCCCCAATATCTGTGCATGTGATTTTTTCCTCTGCTGAAAATGCCTAGCCCCCAAGCGAAAACCCCACTCTGTTCACTTGGCAAGTCTCATAATTTTCTGGAGCCCAATTCAGAAACGAATTCTGTAAAAAAGTCACAGACATCAGAAATTTCAGTTTTTCATGTTTAGGGATTTCATAATGCTTTGCAGAAATCTTCAAAACAACTTTTATCCCTACATTATATTAAATTACTTGTATCTGAGTTGTCTGTTTTCTCTACTAGACTATAATTCACAAACCACATTTTAGTTATCTTTTACAATCTCAGCAGATATCCTGGTACCCAGTCCTTAAGCCATAGGGCATAATGTTTCTAGCATTTAGTAATGACTCTGGAGAGCCAAGTTTTTAACTTTTCTTTGCAACTTACCAGCCATGTACTTTGGACAGGTTGTTTAATCTTTGAGCTTCAAAGGTTTTCTCACACATAAAAAGAGACAATAAAAATGCATTCAATAAATATTTATTAATTTCTACTATTTTCCATGCACTGTTCTAGGTGCTGGGAATATATTACTGAAAAAATATACCAAAATATATGCCTTTATGGAGTTTACGTGTGAACAGTTACCTAACTAATGGGTTTGTTGGCAGGTGCAAAAAGATAATTGTGCATAAATTGCTTGTCCACTATGAACTATGTGGAAATTTTAGGTCTTATTTCTTTCTAACATAGAAAAATCTGGAGAAGAACAGTATGGCTCAAACATTATACAGCACCTTTGTGATCATTCTAACACTCCTGTTCAGTCTGAATTGTAATTCTTATTTTCTCTTTTTTTCTCAAGAGGATTTATGGAATTTGATGATAATCAAGGAAAGCATTCATCAAAGTGACATCCTCAGGTGATTTTTCACTTAAAATTTACAACTGAAATAACAGTGTATTGGACAAAGGAAAAAGGGTCTGTCTAGTTTTATTTAATAATTTTGGTTACCCATGTCTACCTACAAGCAGAAAAAGTATATTTAAAAAAATTCTTACTGTAGTTTTTTAAAATTAATCTTAAATGAATGTACTTTTATCATGTACAAGGTTCTAATAATAAAATTTTCTTAAGAGAGGAGGTACATCTGTGAGATGAAGTGAATAAGGATGGCAAGTTTGGAGACCTGGTTCCTGTCACAACTCTGCTAGGAACTTGCTTTGTACAAGTTCAGCCTGTGAAATGAGGGCTAGCATGCACTAACAATCTAAGGACCCATGTAGTCATGCATTAGTTACTCATGAGAAGAGTGAAATTTGCTGAACCTAATTCAAAGAAAAAGGATAACAAACTTTCTATCTCACACAATTAGATTTATGGGCAAACAATATAGTTTGAGTGCTCAGAAATACTTGTTTTTCCCTACTCAGTTCTCTCCTGAAAATGCATCTTGAAATATAAAAACAGAAGTGTTAGATCTGGTAATATTAGTAACTGGTATGAACGGTGTTCTTACTCTGTTTTAGGCATTAAGCTAAGTGATTAATGACTAAGTGCTATGCAGTATTTAATTTAATTCATAATCCCTACGCAAGGGATTATTATTATTCTTAAATTTTATAAATAAGGACATAAAGGCTCAGGGAGGTTTGCTAATGTGGCTATATTAATAAAGGAGGAAGACAGAATTTGAATTCAAGCAGCCTGATTCCAGGGCCTGTGCTGTATCTCTAAGCCATGGTGCTACTGGAGAACAGAGCAGAATAGTATAGGAGAAGGCAGCGGAGAATAATGATTAAGCTAAGCAATCTAAGACATACCTCAAGATGTTCATAGAAATACAACACTGCTCCTTTGCTCAGTTGAGTTACTCTATATGCATATTCAGGAAGTGTGGCCTTTCCCAACTTCTGTTTGTGATCTGGTCTGGAAATACTCCTTTTCCCTGTTGGCTCCATTTCATAATCTGGGTGTGATTAATGTAAGTTCAGAAAGCTACTATTGTATTCCCCCAGAACTTAGTCCACCCTTTCCCATCTGCTTCTAAGGATGAGAATCAGGCTTGGGTATTGAAATCAAAACATACCCAACCCGGACACTCCTGACTCTTACCCTAAGGCCAATTAAGCTTTTAAACTCAGTCACTTCTGTTTGTATGTTTTCATTCCCATCTTCTCAGAGAACAGTCTTCCTCTTCTCGCAGGTGTCCTAATATTTTACCTTCATTCAGGCTTCTGGTACACACCTATAATTTTTGGTCCCCACACCCCAGATTCTTAGAGTACATCCTACAGGTCTGGTCTATGATGTAGTCCAATAGGCAAGGCCACACGAAGGAGCAGAAAGAGCAGTAGACATAGACAAGATGTAAGTTCAACTTCTAAATCAGCCACTTAATGGTTATGTAACCATGGTCAGGCCACTTTACCTGCCTGAGCCCCATTTTTCTCTTTATGAATTTTTAAAATGTAGGGAATCTTAATACCATTTTTTTAACTGCATATGAAAAAATTGGAATTGATGCATGAATCAACTTAAGATGCCCTGATGAGCCGAGAGGAATGGCTCACTCTAGGGATGTAAAAAAAAAAAAAACACATTAAACTAAGGAGAAGGAAGCAACTAAGGAAGAGACTGATTTTTGTATTCTTAGTAGAGACAGAGTTTCACCATGCTGCCCAGGCTGGTATCAAACTCCTGGCCTCAAGTGATCTGCCCACCTCAGCCTCCTAAACTGTTGGGATTATAGGTATGAGACACGGCGTGCAGCTGGCATTTCCTAAATTAAGATAGATAGTTGGATAGATAGATCTTATGTCAACATTGATTTTTTTTTTTTTTTTTTTTGAGATGGAGTCTCACTCTGTTGCCCAGGCTGGAGTGCAGTGGCGCCATCTTGGCTCACTCCAACTTCTGCCTCCTGGGTTCAAGTGATTCTCCTAACTCAGCCTCCCAAGAGCTGGGACTACAGGTGTGCACCATCATGCCTGGCTAATTTTTGCATTTTCTTTAGTAGAGATGAGGTTTCACCATGTTGGCCAGGATGGTCTTGAACTCCTGACCTAGTGATTCACCCGCTTCGGCCTCCCAAAGTGCTGGGATTACAGGCGTGAGCCACGACACCCAGCCAATCCTTCCCTTATTTATTTATTTATTTATTTATTTTGAGACGGAGTCTCGCTCTGTCGCCTGGGCTGGAGTGCAGTGGCCGGATCTCAGCTCACTGCAAGCTCCGCCTCCCGGGTTTACGCCATTCTCCTGCCTCAGCCTCCCGAGTGGCTGGGACTACAGGCGCCCGCCACGTCGCCCGGCTAGTTTTTTTGTTGTTGTTGTTGTTGTTGTTTGTATTTTTAGTAGAGACGGGGTTTCACCGTATTAGCCAGGATGGTCTCGATCTCCTGACCTCGTCATCCGCCCGTCTCGGCCTCCCAAAGTGCTGGGATTACAGGCTTGAGCCACCGCGCCCGGCCGTTATTTTTTTTTTAACAAGTTTCTTTAACTCTTCTTTAATCCATACCTACAATGTCAATCAGTCAATGCTACTAAAATGAAAACCTAGCTGGCTATTGAGAAGTTTATGGACTCAGCAATCACGTAGCTCTGTGTATCTCATAACTGTGGAAGGAAATGATAACGTTATGTATAAAGGGGCCTTGGGAATGCCTTGGAAAAGATAAGAAAGAATATCTGGAGGAAAGGATGAGCATTATGAATGCTCTACAAATAAGGTGAACTCTGAGAGAAGAGATTCTACACACTATCTGATATGATGAGTAGAGAGAGGTACAGTATTTGGAAAAATATCCAATAACTGAATACCTGGTTTCATCTGAGAGCCTCTCAACCTCTACTGAACAACATTGACATGATTTTTACTGAACTTAATATTTTCAATAGACTTAACATTTTAACTCCACTTGTCCTGCATTGTTTAAAATCATATGAATTCAAGTCATCTTTTTTTTTGTGTCTTAAGTCATTTGATATTTTAAGTATAAACTTTCTTTCCTGCATAAAAACAAATTTGGATGAATCTCACTAGATTACTAAAATTATCAAAAGAGGTAATGGATAGAAAGTCACTTTATGAATTCTTAATTTCTATACAAGTGTTTTAGATTAAGACAAAATCTACTACAGGACACACTAGATTTTTGTGCTTAGACTGGCTCCCTCAGCGCTTCCGAGGGAGGGATCTAGGAATAAGTAAGTCAGACAGGAAATTCCAATGCACCGGATGAGCAAAACCGCCCTTGGCCACAATGTCACTTGTAACCCTTTCATGAAGTCTTATGGAAAATTTTTCTTTTAGAAATTAGGCAAGAAAAAAAAAATGCCTTCCCTAAAGTCAGATTCCTCTTTTCTGCTTGTAAGATTTATGTGACAGCTGGGCACGGTGGCTTACGCCTGTAATACCAGCGCTTTGGGAGGCCGAGGCGGGCAGATCACCTGAGGTTAGGAGTTCGAGACCAGACTGACCAACATGGAGAAACCCCTCCTCTACTAAAAATACAAAATTAGCTAGGCATGGTGACATGTGCCAGTAATCCCATCTACTTGTGAGGCTGAGGCAGGGGAATTGCTTGAACCCAGGAGGCAGAGGTTGTGATAAGCTGAGATCAAGCCACTGCACTCCAGCTTGGGCAACAAGAGTGAAACTATGGCTCATGCCTATAATCCCAGCACTTTGGGAGGCTGAGGCGGGCAAATCACAAGGTCAGGAGATAGAGACCATTCTGGCTAACACTGTGAAAGCCGAAAAAATTAGCCAGGCATGGTGGTGGGTGCCTGTAGTGCCAGCTACTCACGAGGCTGAGGCAGAAGAATCACTTGAACCTGGGAGACAGAAGCTTCAGTGAGCCAGGATCGTGCCACTGCACTCCAGCCTGGGTGACAGAGAAAGACTCTGTCTCAAAAAAAGAAAAGATTTATGTGACTTAGTTTTTTCTTTTTCATCATCTATCTATCCAGAAAGTCAGTAAAACTGGTGACTCAGCTTATCCTTAGGGATTTATTCAATGCACATTCTCCCTTCATTCTTGTTTCTGATTCTTTATACACTTAGAATTTTTCCTTTTGTTGTTGTTGTTGCTTATTTCCTTAAATATGTATTATAGTTGACTTTATTATGAAACCTCTTCTATTTTATAGTGCAGAAGCATAAAAATTTTAAGGAAAAGGCTAAAAGTTTTTTGGCTTATTTAACATCTTAAATCCTCTCTACTTGTTAATTGTTTTCCTCTCTTTGACTTGTGTTTCAAAGGACACACCCATGTGGCTCCTGGACAATCCAAGAGCAGCCAAATCCTGCTTTTCCAGTTCTGCTTCACAAGTCCTCCAGGACAGAGTCCTCAAAGCAACTCCCAGCGAGTTCTCAGGATTCAGGCTCTGGCTTCAACCAAACAGAACTCATTTTGAACACCCCGACTGCATTTTTGCTTTTAGAAAGTTAGAATAAATATGGCGCTTTGGGATCACATAGTTGATTTAGAAGATTCGTGTTGCTATTAGTAATTTTTTCTGGCCATGTTTAAAGTTTTAATGATGCAAATATATATATATTTATATATATTATATATATAAATATATATATATATATTCACCAGGATATATATATATATCCTGGTGAATATTTATATGTTTATATATTCAAACGGATAATCAAAGAATGGTTCAAAATAGGAGGACTAAAGCCCAGATAATGTAGCAAGTTCAAATTCACAGAGCCAATAAGTGACAGAAAGAGGAATAAAACCTGACCTCAAAACAAGCTCTCAACTCCTAAAAATGTATGCAGCTTCAGAGTTAAAAGTTTTACACATCTTTTTTGGAAAGTGTTTTAAAACTCTCTGAGCCTACTCTCCTATGCTAGTAAACTTAAAAACCGACTTTTTAAAATTAGTAAAATCATTGCCTTCCCCCAGAGTCACTATTTTTCTCATAGAATAGCAGTGTCAGGGATGGAAGAGTCCTCGAAATGTTTAGTGCAGCCCTTTCATGCCACCACCTTATTACACAGAGGTGGATCCTCTGCAGCCATGGCTGTGGTTCTTGCCCACTTACGAGAAGGAAAATGTGACGGCAGAGCTAGAAATACAGTGTTCTCCCAGAATTATTTAATGCAGACAGTAAGACAAGACTGAAATCTTAACATGGAGCAAGATGCCAATTAAAGCAGTGATCGAATCTAGAATAAAGTTTCTATGTTTCTATGTGCTGCTTCTGCTGAGTTCTCAAAAACTATCTTGGGTTTTGTCCTTCCCAAACACAGAAACTCTGGAAGTAACTCAAGTGTATGTTTAATAAATCTTTTGTTTGTTTGTCTGTCTTCCTGTTTTTACTTAGCCAGAAGAGGTCTGCATGCAGCAAAAAGAATTTTAATAATACAGGTAGACAAACCATGAGTGAATGTCTACCAAATGTTGAAAAATGCATGTTACTTTCCACAGTAAATTCAGACAACTCACACTGCATTTTCTAGGGATTGTGTCAATTTCAAATATCACATCCCACTTAACTAAATTACCTAGGATGTCTATTATTTTCAGTATCTGGCACACAAACTGCTTCTCCCCAACAAATGTGGCTGCAGAATCTCTTTTCCGATATTGACTCACTGATTTCTGCTTGGATAACGCGTTTACTACAACTAAATTAATACACTACCTATATGTGAGAAACACACTCTACCAGACATTTTCTGCCTTTATCTTCACCTGTGTGTTGTACACTTTGAAATCACTTTTTCATGTTGGGGGTTGGGAAAGTGCCATATCAATACGGGATTCGGTCAATTCCTAACAGGTCGCCGACAAAGATCTCCAATGATCTATAGAGATTTTGAAGATTTCCCAACTGCTTTACAATGTGCATTTCCTCTTCCTCCCCTTCATTGCCTTCTTCCCCTACCCTCCAATAAGACCCATGTCTGCAGCCAGCAGGTACACCTGTTCTTAAAGATCAAGAATCTCTTTCATCTGCATAGAATTTTTCTTTTGCGACCCTTTTGCACTATTATCTCCTTGTAACCTCATAACCGCAATGTGATTGAATTGAGTTGGGGAGGCATTTTTTTCTGCATGTGACAAGTGAAGAAACTGAGGCTCAGGGAGGCTAATTGGTATCATGCCTGAGATACCAAAACTGGTAGAGGCTACATGGGAGTTCCAACCAGGTGTGTCTAACTCCCAGCAGAGTATTCCCCTGTGACATGCTGAGGACACAATCTACATCATCACTATTCTGTCCCAAATCCCAAATTTTCTATCATGACTCAAGTACTTGAGGGAATTTACACCTAGCTTTTTACAGAAATGCTGAGTAGATAGAGTAATTCCATTTAAATAGAATTCAATTCAGATTAATTCTTTCTGCCATTTCCCATCTCTTTTGAAGCAAATGCTACGTTTTAAAATTTCTTTACAATGGTGGCAAAGATCCTATCTGAGCTATTCACTTCCCTTCCTTCCTCCTACTCATTATTTTTCTTCTTTTCACTCCAGCCATATTGAGATCCTCGTCAGTCTTTAAACAGTCCAAGTATGTTCTTTTTATAGGACCTTAAATTTCCCCTTCCCTGTGCCTAAATTACTCTTTCCCAAGATGGCCACTTGGCTTGCTCCTTCATTTTTTAAGGTCTTCTCCTAAATATCACCTTCTCAGTGAAGCCTTCCTTGATCACTTTATTTAAAACTGCGTCATCTACCCTAATATGTCTATCTTCTTTGGCTGCTTAATTTTTTCTCCTATGGATATATATTTTTTAATACATATCTTTTAACACAATGTTAAAATTTGATTTATTTCATTCCTTTTTCTGCCTACCTTCATTAAAACGTAAGCTCCATGAGGCAAGAATTTGGCCTCTTTTGTTCAGTGTTCCTGGTGCAATCATGAGCAATTAGAACAGTGTTTAACAGAAGCAGCTGTTCTGTAAATGTTTCTTGTATTTTGCAAGAAGCGAAGAAATTTAAATCATAGAGCTTCTAGCCAGGGGCAAGACAGTAAGGGTACAAAGTTGAATATCCCACGATTTTTGCTTTCAAATAGCTCACAGTCTTGATGCAGAAGATATGTGTGCATAACCAACTAAACATACTCAACAGGGCACAGCATAACAGAGGCACAGACATGGGAACATGGGAACCAGCACAAAGAACCATTCATGCTCCCTCAGAAATCTGGAAAGATTTCTTTGATGTAATAATATTTGATCCATTACTTGATGGATGATAAAGGATTTGAAGATATGGAGAAGGAGAAGGAAGGGCATTTCAGTCACAGAAGAAAGCTTAAACCAAAACCCTGACTATGGCAATTCTTGACATTCAAGGATGGCCCTACAATCCTTCAAACGTACCTACCTTTCTTAAGAAACAGATTTCATTAGGATACCTTCCACACTTGGTCCCTCTTAAATGTTACCTCATTGAATCCTCATATTTAGTACAAAAATTAGATATGATTATTCCCTTTTGAAATGATGCAATTGAGAATCTGACAAGATCACTGGGTAATGCTGGAGCCAAACTTGAACAAAAGTCTGGGTGACTGATTTCCTTTTGTATTTATTTTGAGAGTGAGAGGAATTACTTTCTTGTAAAAATTTTTTATTTTATTTTATGTTCTGGGATACATGTGCAGGACGTGCAGGTTTGTTACATAGATAAACGTGTGCCATGGTGGTTTGCTGTGCCTATCAACCCATTACCTAGGTGAGAGGAATTACTTTTTAATGTGTACTAATTGGCAAAATGTTTTCTTCAAAATTGAGATTCAAAAATTATCAAAGTGGTATATGCTCACCATGTGAGAGGGAAAAATGAGGGGAATATGTAAATGTGTATATACTTTTAGCAGTTAACAATCTCCCATATTAATCCCATTATCCCCAAACCAGCCATATCAGCAACCAATATTGATGCTGTTGTCCCTGCCTATTCAGACATATCCAAACATATTCACATGTAGAGTGGGGGTTGGGCGAGTGCTTTACTCTGCAGCTTGACTGTCTTATTGAATAATTTCTCGTGGCATTTAGTTTAGGTAAAGAGATAGAAATCTTTAAAAAGCTATTCAATAGCTCATAATTTCCCTATTGATAGACTTTCATATTGTTTCTATTTTTCAGCTTTCCAAAGGATTCTGCAATAAACATGCTTACATGTATAAGTATGTGCACTAATATTTGTATATAAATATTTTTGTTTAATGTTTTTATAAAAGATTTTCAAAAATCGAATTGCGAAATCAAAGGACATTTTTTTAAAATGCTGATGGATATTGTGAAAAAACCTTCAAAATGTAGCATTCCCTTATTGGCCCAAATGGACTTTTTATTGACTCACAGCATATGACTAATTTTCTAAACTTATAATTGATGTACAAAAACTGCATGCATTTAAAGTATACACTTAAAGAATTTTAATATATGTATATACTCCCAAAACCACACAATTTAAATACTGAACAATTTTGGAGCTCACAAATAAATGGGAGATACAAATAATCATCAAATAATCCTACAGAAACCTATAATTATGTTTTGAGAGACTTGCTAGGGAAGGAAGGAAGATGGTTCTCTTGGAAGCTGTCACAAATGTGTAACAACTGGGTGAGGGGAAGTTCCTAAGACATATGCTGAGATCTCAAAAGAGAAATAATAAAGTGGTTGAATAGGACAAAATTCATAAGGCAAGGAAGGAAAAGAAGCATTTAGAGTAGAATGAATGGTATTTGCAGAAGTCCTGTGCCAGGTATATTGTGCTCTAGCCATGAAGGAAGGTCAAGGTGGCCGGAAAGCAAATGAGAGTTAGGGAAGAAAGTAAGTCTTACAGGACCTCATAGGTCATGGCCAGGATTTTATTCTTAAATCCAAGAACAACGGAAAGCCACCAAAGGGTTTTGAGCATTGGAACACATATGATCATTGTTGCATTTTTAAAAGATCAGTTGGCTGTTGTGCAGGCTAGATGGAGGGGTCCAGAGTAAAGCAGGAAGCCAGCCAAGAAGTTCTTAAGCAAGGGAGTGTCAATGCAGACAGAACCATGTGGGAGGATTCAAGAGGATATTAAGACATTAGGTTGACAGGACATGGTGGTTAGTTCAATATGACATGTCAGGGAGAGGGAAGTATCAGGAATGACTCCTAGGAGTCTGACTAATGCAAGTGGATATGCAGTGTTGCCGCTCAGGTTTATTGAGAACATTGGATACAAAACTTCCCAAGGCTTTCGTGGGCTCTTAGGATAAAAATGGTGCCATGACCATGACACCCAATGCATGGTTTGACCTTGGTTTGCGTCCCTGTGCTCCTGCTCCCAGGGCTACAGCCACACAGGTAATGTTTCAGTTCTTTGAAGAAGCCAAGTTCTCCTTATCCTCAGGATATTCACACACTCAGTACCTTCCACACAGAATATTATTTGGTTAAGATGGGTTCCAACCTCAAGTCCCAACTTGGCATGTCCATAGAAATGACCTAAAATAAACA